AATTTTTATTTAAAATAAATATTTGTGGCTCATCTTTATCTTTTTAAATGCCTACAGTAAACATATGGTCTTTGTAAAACAATAACTATTAAAGTAAAAGCAGCTCTTCATAAGGCAATTAATCAATTAAAAAAGTAATAAAACTGAAGGAAAAAGAAGATTGGGATATTTGAAATGTGAAATATTTTTTAAAATAAGGGACAATTACTGAACTGTAAGTTGAAATCATTCTTTATCAAAAGTGATGTAAGATTCTTCACTCCACAAAAATGATTTATCACAGTGAGATTTCTGACACATTCACTTAGCATCTTAGGAGAGGAAATAACATTTCATTTTGCTTGGTCTACAGAAGCTAGTACAGTGCTGTGAAGTCTATGTAAAGGGAAGACTACTTTTGGAGGATCTGAAAACCTAATTTCCCTTTTTCATAAAATAGATTTCACCTTGGTACTCTTTTCAGCACAATAGCCCCAGGAAGGGGTACGGGCCAAATACCACCAGTCAAAGCAGATGCTATGGTACCTGGGAGAAGAGCTCGCAGACAGAAAGAAGCAGAAAGTGTGCCTGACTCCCTCCAAAGGAAGAGATGAATGAGAAAGGAAATCAGGCAGGAAGACTGGTTTGTTTGGATCCCTTCTCTGAGGCTAAGTCTTCAAGCTACAAAGCATATTTGATTATTGAGGAAAAGCTGGAAGAAGCGCAATTGCTCTGCCTCCCGTTAAGACCTACGAGGACAGAAATGAAAACTGCAGGACAATAAAATGAGTGCCATAATGTGGTTAGGGAGGGACACCTGATTGGTATCTTTCCTTCTTATCCCTTCGTACACCCACCCCAGGCAGCCTCGCCACAATGTGGTCTACACAGGACTGCGGCCTTCCCAGAGGCCCCTAACAGATGTCAAGATATTTGGAATTTCTAGAGGAACAGCTTGCCAGCGGAAGTCTCCTGAGAGATGGTGAAATGGCAAGGCTCTAGGCCATGCTGTGAGTGCCAGAGCACATTCCTTTATTCCTCTGCCATTTCTCAGCAGGATTTTGAAAGAAACAGAGCCAGCTTCCAAGAGGGAACCAAAGTACCAGTGGATGTCAAGACAAGTGGGTGTCAAGATAGGCAGGAGAGGTTTTGACAAGTTCCACTGGCCTTGGACTTTGTCAGGAACCTGGAAGAAGCCTGACTAATTGCACGCTGGTTAAAACAGCACAAACCCAAGGACTGCATGCACTGTGCTGTGAAGGCCAAAAAAATGACATGTGCAAAGTTACAGCCCCACACACCATAGATATTAAAGGTTTTCCCTCTATGTAGACTCCATCTTGGGAAGGAAGAAATAGTTCATTAGGGAGTTACATTTAGCATTGATTGAATGTTTGCCCAAAGGGGACTGACATGAGAATGCCTAGGATATTAATTATCAAGTTAATGGTTTTCATAGCTACCAAAATGGGCAAAATGGGTGAGATCTTGTAAAGAAAATTGCATTTATATAACAAGAAATAAAAATGTAGCATTTTCTTTGTATGCTTGAGTATTGATAGAATAATTTGGTTTTAGTTTTTGTTAATTTTAGTTTTAGATAGTAATTAGTTTTAGTTTTGCCAAAAGAAAATGATTCCAAGGTTCATGGATATTTGCTAAATAAAGAGTTAGCGATTATAAAACAAAGTTATTGAGACACTGAAACATTACCTGAGTTTTCTGGGAGAGCTATAAATATTTTCTGTCAATCGGTTGGTCTTTCTTTTATTGATAAAAACAATGTAAATAGAATATTTAAAATATCGTACTATATTTTTTCTTGCAAATCTTGATTAACTCTTCTCTCAGTATAGCAAGTTGGAGTGATTTGTATTCAGTGGTGTAATATAAAGAGATTTTAGGTAAGATATAAAAGTTGTAACTCTCCACCTTTTTCCCCCTTTATGCATTCCTATTTTATTTTCTCACTTGAAACATCTAATTAAAAAATAGTGTAAGGCATTATACTTGTTCAAAGATCTTTTAGCAATCTCTCTTAACAATATGGAATATAGGTTTCTTGCCAGGAGTGTTTATATAATGGGCTGAGATTTTTTATTTTTACATATGCATCATTGAAAATTATCATATAGAAGGAAGATAGGAGGCTAATATTACTTTTATTTCACATATAGAAAAGAGATAACAAAAGAGTGTAGATTTTAAGTTGAGTTTCCTTTAAACTTGATTCTGTGATAGACTTAGAAATGAAAGTAAAGAGTGTAAGTTTTATACAAAGGGTCATAGAGTCTGTCTTTAAAACCAAACTTTGACCTTTGTCTTTATGAATCTTATTTGATAATGATAGTACTATTGAGCTATTTTACTTCCTTAGATAATACATTTTGGAGTGTTAAGTAGTTCACTGGGTCATGCAAGTTATTGCAAAGAAATTGGATAATTACAGGATGTTCCCTCCAAACTTACCTGCTTCTGGGACAAAGTTATCGTTAAAGATAGTTAGCATATTAGAAAATGTCAATATACATTATTTTTTAAGTATAGCTATCTTGCTCAGTATTTTTTGGGATAATGTGTGTTATGATATATTAGGTGTAAATATTCAGGGAATAAGGAAGGTGTTAAAATAAACATTAAAATAGAAAATCTTGAGCCTCTGAGATGCTGGAAATTACTTGAGACTATCTACACTTTATTTGATACCTCTTTTAAAGACCAACATTTTATGATGATATTAGAGGCCAGGTACACAAATTCATGCACCAGTGCTGTCCCTTGGCCTAGCCTGTGGGATTGGGTCAAAACCAGTTCTCTGACATCCCCTGAAGGGTCCTGGATTGCCAGACGGTTCAGGCCAGGTTGAGGGATCCCAACGGTGCATGATTGGGGCCGGGAGGGGATGCAGGAGATTGGCCAGCTGGGGAAGGGTTGCAGGAGGGCTCCAGGGAGTGTCCGGCCCTTCTCACTCAGTCCTCAACTGCCAGACCCCAGCAGCAAACTAACATACCCGTTGACAGTCTGCCCCCTGGTGGTCTGTGCACATTATAGTGAGCAGTTGATCAGCCTTAGCATATCATTAGTGTATTAACATTTTGATTGGTTGAACCCATGACCAGATACTTAGCATATTAGGCTTTTATTATATAGGATATAATTTGGTTTGAATACATGAAGTTGGAATCTTTTTTCTTTGTTATGAATCTTGCTCATATTTGGGAGATCTTTTTTGAACATTACAGACTTTTGGCTCTCTGCCAAAGTGAACATTTTTGGAATAATATTAAATATATCTGGCTAGACTTGAATAACAATACCCCCTTCTTCCCCCGACCCTCAACCCACACACACACACAATGAAGCAAGGAAGCTCATTCTCTGGCAATTCTGAAATATGTGAAATAAATGACTAAGACTTAGACTCAGATATTTATTAAGATCTAGAAAAAGCCAGTCTCCATAGATAAAGTTTTACAATTTTTGAGAACAGTTGTTCTTAGCACTCTAACGTGCTTTTTAAAAGCTGTTGTAAAGGAATATGCCATGAGTAACAACTGAATTTGGGGGATTTGGGAAAAAGAACAGACTGAAATTCCTTGAGCTGGTAATTTCTATCCCATAAAACCCACCGGGCCTGTGAGAGGGTGTGCTTATTTCTGTATCCACAGTCATTTAGCTCACTCTCTCAGCAGACATTTATTTATTAATATTTCCGTGTGAGGCCCTTGCTGAGCTCCAGGCGTCATTGCTGTGTTGTCTGCTCTCATGGAGTTTTTGGCTGCAAGCTGTGAGAGGTTGGGGAGTGTTAGGGAGCTGCGGTGGGTGTGTAACCCTTCCCAGGGAAAAGGGACTTGGAGGAGCATCAGTAGTTGATCACACACAGAGGGGAGAGGGGTGTGGATGTGCCTTTGAGAGGGGCCCTGAGAACCTGTGATCTGGGGGCCGCTGAAGGATGCCCAGGACCAAATCAGAGATGGTCAGACCTGCATCACCACCATTTACCCATCCTCCAGAACTGAAATACCATGGCTGACATGTACACATAAGGAACTGTTCAACATTGAAATTGGGTCTCAAACAAACTGTTGGCCCAGAAAGGCACTCACTATAGACTGATTCATTTGCCTCTCAGCATAACCATTATGGCTTGTCTCAGTTTTGGTTCTTATAAGTGTATTTCTTATAAGATGATCTCACGCATCTAGGGGAAATAATGAACAACATAGACTGATGAACAAAAACAGACCCGGAGACAGGACACAGGGAAGCATCTATCAGACTGTCAGACCTTAGAGGGAAGGTAGGGGAGGGTGGAGGTAAGGGGGAGAGATCAACCAAAGGACTTGTGTGCATGCACATGAGACTAACCAGTGGTCATGGACAACAGGGGGTGGGGGCATGCCTGGGGAGGGGTTTGGGATGGAAATAGGGGGATGAGGACAAATATGTGATACCATAACAAATAATAATAATAATAAAAAAAGAACAGGGACAGTTGTGCCAGATGCGGCTATGGAAAGGCTGGGGGAAGGTGGAGGGGATGGGGTGGAGGGGATGGGTCAGCATTTCCCTCCTCTCCTAAGGCGAGCTCTACAAGCAGTGCTCTCTGGCTGCAGGGTGGACAGGCGTGTTCCTGCGTTTCTGCCTGTGCCTTCTGGCCCTCAGGGATTGTCATTTATTTATTTCTAATCATTTGAAACTTTTATTTATTTTTTTTTTTTTTTGCGGGGGCTGGGGAAGCTCCTTTCTCGGGTCAGTCGGAGACTGCCTGTCCCTGTTGGATTCATATACGTGGTCTCCTTTGACCCCCGAGGAAAGGCATTTCTTAAGGATTATTGCTTTTTGTAGTAAAAACAGCCGCAGAGACCGCGGAGGAGGCGCTGGGCAAACCCTGTGCCACCGGGGGAGGGAGGTGGAGTCTGCGCAGTGGGGCCCGGAGGGCCGGGGGAGGAGCGCCGCGGGGACCCAGTGCGCATGTCCGCCCTGCGTTGCCAAGGCAGCGAAAAGGCGTCACCCGGAAGAGGAGCCGCAGGGCCGAGCTGCCGAATCCCACAGGGTCTGCTCTCCCTGGCTCAGGCCTGGCTAGTTCCCGAGCCACCAAAGCAAGGCCAGTGGGCAGCCGGAAGTGACGCAGTGTGATGGCCGGTCGCCTAGAAGCCAGGGGATCCGAGAAGCCACGTGCATGGGCCCAAATGGACAGCAGGGCCACGGATGACCTCCCTCCTGAGGCCTCGGAGTCCTTCTCTGAAGAGGTACGGAGTTCAAGTTCACTCAGTTCCCCTGGAGGGCCGCTGCCCTCGCCTCCGGTCTCAGGGGACAAACCTGAGAGTGGAAAGCCCCCTGCACACTTGTTGGAATATCAGGACAAACGATCAGAGCTTCCAGAAGAGAGGTTTAGTCGGAAAAGAATCGACTACCTCAAGGGCAAAGAGACTAACACTGGCGGACACCCACCAGACACTCAGCCTCCATCAGAAGTCACTCCAGTGTCTGATGAACAGACGCGTGCCCTGCAGGCGTTTTGCTCCCTGAAGGTGAACCTGATGCACCGCAGAGCTACCTCTAAAGGAAAGAAGCGCAGCAGACATCAGAAGCCGCAGCTCAGGTCTCATGCAGAGGCTCCAGAGGTGGATGCCGCCCGCTGTACTGCCCCCGATGAGCTTTTGAACAGAATGCATTTAAAAAACGTGATGGCAACACTAAAGCAGGCGGCGGCAGTTAAGCAACACGTGCCCTCGAGGTGCCCCGATTGTATCAGAAAAAGAGCAGAACTGGCTCAATCTGCCTTCCTGAAACGAAAGAAGACTTTACTGGAGACACTTCTCCTCCAAGAGAAAATAGATGAGCGTCTTCATACTAAAGACTTCCTCACCTTTATTGGAGAAGCACACCGGGGCCTCCCCAGGCTCTCAGATGACCCCAGAATAATCTGGAAAAGACTGAATGAGAAAAGCCAGAAGAGAGACTGGTTTTGAAAGGTCGGATCCAGAGCAGAAGATGTAGTGGAATGGAAATGGGGCTTGCCATTCACTGTTTGCTCTACCACCTCTCAAACCACTTATTCTAACCAAACAGGAGATGCTGTTTATTAATGATAGTGTATGATGTGGGTAGGTGTTTTTGTTTAATTTGAATAATTGTCATCATTTCTATAAGCACTTTGGAAACTAACTTAAAAATTTACTATGCTTCCTTCACATTTTGGAGGACGAAGAACTTTTGATCAGTATGTTTTTCAGATTATAGAGGGCAACATGGTAGTTGGGATAGTTACAAAGTTTTTACAACAATCCAGGAGAGAGATGCTGGTAATTTTGGACCAGGGTTTTGACAGTGCAGATAGAGGTACAGAAATTCAAGAGATAATTAAGGAAATAATAATTGACAGTCTTGATGAAGAGATGGGTATGGGGATCTAATGAAAGGTTAATGTTAAAAGTATTACTGAGTTTCTGACTTGTGTATTGAATGGATAATAATTTCATTAAATTGTACATAGAAACAGAAGAGGATCCTGTTTGATGGAAGTGATTAGCAGAGTGATTATTGGGACATGACTGGTTTGACTTACCCACGTTGAGACATCCACTTTGAGAGGTTGAGAAGCATTGGGTTATTTGCTTTGAAAAGATTTGGCCTATATATTGTAGTTGGAAAAAAGGGAAGGGGCTAGGATCATTGGCTCACAGTTGCAAATTGAAATCATAGACGTAAGTTCTTCTAGAAGAGGATAGGGTGAGAAGTGAACAAAAGGTATAACTCACTCCTGAGAAATTCAGCAATTAAAGACTGAAAAGAGGAGAATAAGCCATCAAAGGTTTAGAAGAAATTATCAGAAAAGGATGAAAGAAAGGTGTAGTGTCACAGAGAGCAAAGAGAGAAAAATGTCAAGAGAGATGGGTTTTCTAAGCTTGCAAATGCAACAGAGTTCGTGTGAGATATTTAGTCATGTCCTCGAGCTCTGTTGATCTTAGCAACAGCCATTTCACTTAAGAAAAATTGGCTAGTCAGGCAAAGTAAATTGAGGAATAAATGTAAGGACATGAAAAATATGAATGTAGACTACATCTTGAAGTTCAGCTTCCAGGAGGAAAAGAGAGGGGAAGGTGGAGGTATATGTATAAATGAAGGAAGTATGCTTAAATAAATTACCTAAAAAACCATTTTTGGAGGGCCATATTTTATGAAACTTTTCTTATTCTAATTTCCATTCTGATGAAACAATATCATCCCTGAAAATACCATGGCATTTTGAGAATACATTTATTGAAAAAAAGTGTTAGTGGCATTCTGAGAAATTAATTTTCTATAAAAATACAAATCCTGAAATTTGTAACAATACCTAGAGGCTATTTTTCTGCATGCCTAACAACTGAGCTATAACAGTGGAAAAGAAATTTGTGAAAGTCAGTTTTAACAGTCTTTATAACATCCCAATACTATTTGATTTTAGATTTTCATTTATTTATAAAAATACTTTCTCCTACAAAACTTAGCATATTCCCTCGTATGAAGTCAGTCAAGCAAAATGGAAATCAAATAATTACCATTTGCATAGTAACTTTTTTTTTATTTGAATTGCACATTATGTCGTGCTTTATCTTTGGCATCATAGTATAGTCACATTTCACATAATCAAAATTCTGAATAATTGCCATTTAGAATTCCCCCCTTAAAGGGTTACAATATACTCATTTAGTCAACTAAGCTAGAAGTCATAGCCATCTTTTGTTCCTCCCTTTTGTAAAAAAACCCAAGTTAGCTATTCTTTTGGCAAAGACCATTAGCTCTTTCTTCAATATTTTCTGGCCATGACTTCTTATTTCCATCTCCTTACCACCTCCACTCCTAGTTTCTCTCTTCAGTGCATTCTCCATACAGTTGTCAGAATTATATTTTTCTAATTTACAAATCCGTTCAATTTTCCTGATTAAAAGAAAACTAAATGATTAATCAGTGCCATAGGAATAATTTGAATTGATTAAGGCAGTGGTCGGCAAACTCATTAGTCAACAGAGCCAAATATCAACAGTATAACATTGAAATTTCTTTTGAGAGCTGAAAACACTTCTGCGCATGAGCCACAAAGTTTCAATTTCACTGTGCGTGCACACCCATGGTATTTTGTGGAAGAGCCACACTCAAGGGGCCAAAGAGCTGCATGTGGCTTGAAAGCTGCAGTTTGCCAACCACTGGATTAAGGTTATATAGAGGTTCTTTAATATCTGGCCCAAATTTACCAATATAACCCCATCTTCTCTCTCTATAAGACTTGCAATTCCCTGAGCTCCTTGTGGTTTACAAGTTTATATTCATGTTGTTACAGTTCTCTTAACTGCCTTTTCCAGCAGGTGGACTCCTCTTTTTCTCTTCCTCATATTCAGTTATCGCTCCCCTTACTGCTCCCCCTCCTCTTCCTTATTTAGTTTTAAACTTTACTATAACGGGGATAATATATTTACACTAGAGGCCTGATGCATGAAATTCATGCAAGGGGCTCGGCCCTCGTAGCCCCAACCACGTATGGAAGGTCGATTGGCTGTCCGGTCTAATTAGCATATTATGCTTTTATTATTATAGATGGCACAGAAGTCAAAAGGATATCAAAGATTTCATATGCAAAGTTGCCCTTCCACTCTGTTACCATCCCACTTCATTCTAAGCTGACCTGCCACCACCTACTCTTCCAGGTTAACACTTCATTGACTAGATTATGGGATAAGAGCAGAGGTAGAGAAAATTCAGGGAATTGAGTGGCCACTTACCAACCAGGACAGAGAATTTTTGTATTAGAACTAATTCAACCTTATTAGTGCATATGGCTGACTATTCATGTTACTTATAAGAAGCCACCTATATTAGTTTCTTATATATTTTTTTCAGTATTTCTTTATGCAAATACAAACACTAAAAATAATTCACTATGTGCTTTCTTTGGTGCCTTTTTTTGTTGCTATTTTTTTTCTTGTGATAAAAAGGATATAATATAAGATGTGCAATTTTTACTATTGCTAATTGTACTATTTAGTGGCACAAATTGCATTTACAATGTTGTGCAACTGTTACTCTTATTATTTCCAAAATTTTTCATTGCCCCAAAGAGAAATTCGATTCATTAAGCAATAACTCCCCATTGACCCCTCCTTCCTAGGCCCTAGTAACCTCAAATGTACTTTTTGTCTCTATTTTAGTACAGTGCCTCATACAAAACTTTCATGGATGAAAAAATAATTGCATCGAAACTATGAGATTTAGTATCTTTTGCACCAAAAGAAGAAAACAGTTTAGTAGCAACATACTTTTTTTGTTGTTAATCTTTTGCCTTTGTATAGCTGTTTTCTGTAAAATTTCTCTCTCACTATGGTTTGGATTCACTTTTGCTTGAATACATGTAATTTTTCTTAGTGTAGATTAGTTAAAACTTAAAAAAATTTTTTTTATTGACTTCAGAGTGGAAGGAAGAGGGAGAGAGAGAAGAAAAAAAAAATCAATGATGAGAATCATTATCAGCTGCCTCCTGCATGCCCCCTACTGGGGATTGGGCCTCAGCTTGGGCATGTGCCCTGCCCAGGAATGGAACAGTGATCTTGTGGTTTGTAGGTCAGTGCTCAACCGCTGAGCCATGCTGACTGGGCAGTGACAAGCTTTTTTTTTTTTTTTTTTTTTTTTTTTTTTTACAGAGATAAAGAGAGAGGGATTGAGAGTTAGAAATATCATTGAGAGAGAATCATTGATCAGCTGCCTCCTGCACACCCCCTACTGGGGATGTGCCTGCAACCAATGTACATGCCCTTGACTGGAATCGAACCCGGGACCTCCCAGTATGCAGGCTGATGATCTATCCACTGAACCAAACCGGTTTTGGCAGTGACAAGCTTTTAGATAAGACATCTTTTCAAGAAGTATGCAGCCAATCACTACAGTATTCATTTAGAAGAATGAATATGAAAATAGTTCTCTGGAATCCACATTTTTAGACGGAATTTTTTTTATCACAATTGTTAATTTTAAAGATAATTTACGACTTTTTGCAATGTTGAAATGGTGTAAAAATTCTTGATGCTTGAACATAATTTTTATTGCCTCTGAATAAATTCAAAAGGAATGAATATTCTTTCTCCCAAATTTTTATAGTTGCACCCACGGGATTCCAGTGCAGCTGCGAAGGAAAGCCCATCATATCAGAGGCTAAGAAACCACATATTTCTCCAATGCACTAGACATGAATCTGGCAACTTGGTACCAAATTATGCAGATAGTTAATTTACATAATTATATGAGTTACATAAAATGCATCTTTTTAGTTTACATTTTGTCATCTAGATTTTATTTTTAAACTAACAAACACAATTCTTCGCCAAGAAACAAATCTATGTATTTAACAAACACAGAAATAATGAAATCCTTGAAAAGAAGTAAGTGAGGGACCAGATTGAGAGAAAAGAAAGTTTAGTCCTGAGCATCTGAGTCATTCGAATTCCAATCTCAGAACTGTTTAGGAATGTTTGGGACACCCAGCTCAGAATACCTCCGATTCTAAACATGTTAGTTTAATTCCTGATGAAGCCTAATATAGTAATCTGGCTGTTTCTATAGCAACATAGCTAAACAGGTTGCAAAGAAATAGGAACTGTGGCTCTACTTGGGCATGGGCTCTCCCTCATTTTTTTTTTTCTTCTTCTGGAATTGGCAGATGAAAAATACATTCACAAGTAGTTAATTTGAAAAACAGAAAAGACAGCCTAACAGCTATTCTTAGTTGATAATCCCCTTTGCAATAGAGAATTGAGAACATTTCCAATTTGCAGTAGACTCAAATTACAGTGAAAATTGCAAAATTCTCTGAGGGTGGCTTAAATGACCCTAACGCCAAGTTTTGAGGATCTCACTGCTGGTTGAGCTCTGAATTGAGGTTTAGGAGAAAATAGGTTGCGGTCATCACACACAAAATTTGCTTTGGATGTCAAGACGGATGACCCCACTCAACGTCTGAACAGGTGTGAACAAGTTTATCAGCCACTTCAGGAGGGCTTCTGGGGAGGCTCTCGAGCTGATCTGCAAAGGGCTTGAGAGAGAGAGGAAAGGAGACTGTCTTGGCTTTTACTGTGATTATGGAGGGGCTGAGGTGAAGATTTCTACCTGTGGGCTGCACATTGTCACATGGTTGGAAATTCCTGCCAGTACCAAAGGAGGAATACACCTGCGTTTTCTTACCAATCAGTCCAAACCCAGGGCAAAAGGGTAAGGCTTTAAAGTTTTCGATTATCACACAGCAAAGACAGAATCAGACTCTTTATAATAATTCCCCTGATGTTTGATTAATGATGGAACTACGCCAGGCATGTTTCATTCATTTAAATTTCAACCTGCTTATGTGTGGCATAATGGTGCTCTCCGAAACCTGTAGCCTCAATGGTAAGGGGGTTCAAGTTCCATTGAACACCTCATTCAAGGGCTCAGCTTTGTGTATTTTAGAAATAAAATGGTCTCTCTTTATGGCTGCAACTCCAAAGTGGATCAAG